GAAGGAAGGAAGGAAGGAAAGAAAGAAAGAAAGAAAGAAAGAAAGAAAGGGAAAAAGAAAGAAGGGAGGAAGGGAGGAAGGAAGAAAGAAAGAGAAAGAAAGAAGGAAGGAAGGAAGGAAAGAAAGAAAGAAAGAAAGAAAGAAAGAAAGAAAGAAAGAAAGAGGAAGGACGGGAAGCAAGGAAGGAAGGAAGGAAAACCCTTAAGTTCAGTGGTGGGTTCATACCGGTTCAGAACAGTTCAGTCGAATCGGAAGTGGTTTGGTGGCCTGGCCTGTTGGACCCAGCAGCAACTCAGGCCTGCCACGCCCCGGAACTGCTTCTCCGGGCACTGATGAGAGTTGTACTCCAGCAGCATTTCTGGAAGATCACAGATCTCCCATCCCTATTATAAAACTGCTGAATAAATGCCCCAGTAGGTTTAGTAATTACTAATGTAAAAAAAAAAAAAAGATGTGATAAACTAATACTTGAAACTCATCTCTAACCATGATCTTATACGTATAAATCTGCTTTCTTTTAAAGCTACACAATGATTTCACCTGTTCATGGGGCATTCCTTCCATTTTTGTCCTAAAAAAGAAGAAGAGGCACTTCCTATTGCGTCACCCCACCCTCCCCAATTAACAAGGAAGAAATAAAAAATACTTGAAAGCTGACCCTTCCTTTATTTGAAGGCTACTCTATTTTGAGGGCTTTTAGCAGGTTGCAGTAAATGTACCCAGGAAATTAAAGTATTTCTTGATGGAAGGCAGAGCTGTTCCCACAATGCACAATTAAATGGTGTCATATATATAAAGGTATGATTTCTCATCACTCTAATGAGACAACATTATCGCTGCTGAAAATGTCAGGGCTGGGGGGAGAGTCAAACCAGAAAATCAGCTGTCTAAAATTACTCTCTGAGAACTTCTTTGTTAATTTTTTGCAACAGATTCATTAGCAAAGGATGTTGAAGTTGCCGCCATTTTGGAATCTCAATTTTCACCCCCACTCCGGTACAAACAGTTTCCCCAAATCTTTCTTCTCTCTATAGCCAGGTTCCCGTGGTGGGTTTCAATTTATTTTATTACTGGTTCACTCATGTGTGTGCAATGCTTCTGCGCATGCGCAAAAGCATCTGGGCGCATGGGGGAGCCTTTTTCTGCCACCACAGTTTGCCCGATCTGGAGCGAACCAGCAGAAACCCACCTCTGCCAGGTTCATGTAGCAATAGCAATAGCAATAGCAGTTAGACTTATATACCGCTTCATAGGGCTTTCAGCCCTCTCTAAGCGGTTTACAGAGTCAGCATATTGCCCCCATCAACAATCCGGGTCCTCATTTTACTGGAAAGGATGGAAGGCTGAGTCAACCCTGAG